ATATAGGCGCTGGAAGGTGGGGAGGGGGAAGCGTTGAAGGAGGGGGCTTTGCTGAGGGCCTTGTTGCACATGGCCCCCAACTGGAGCAGAGTGGCAAGGTGGCTACCATTGTCTGCTCCTGCCCAAGACCCTTGCTCTTGCTTGGCCATGGGGAAGACCGGGCATTTGCCTTGGAAAGATGCCCATCAGCTCCTGCGCATCTCCTCCTGGCTCGCCCCGGATCCAAAGAGAAGCAAGGGGCGCCTTCCTGGCCCCATTTGATGTTTTGAGTTGCACGCAGCTGGAGTCTCCGCCCCGATGTGCTTGCAAAGAGAAGGCACCCACGGGCAATTGTCCGGCCAGCTTAGATTGTTTTGGTGGGGCGGGAGCTGCGGGGGAAAGTGAACTAGCCTTGGCAGAAAGACAGAGCCCTCACAGAGGGGGGGTGGCTGCTTTGCAGCCAGGAAAAGTGTGACAGAAAGGAGGGAGCTGCAGAGGGGCCAGGACTTGGCAAACGGCTGCGGAGCTGCCCCTCTCTCTGCCCAGTCCCAGCCAGCTTTGGCAGATGGCGGTCGATCAGTCCCCCAACAGGGCACTGTGCTGTGAGGAAGCCAGTGAGTAGAAGAGAGCAAGCAGGCACACAGTGGGGAAGACGCTGGTTGTTTGCTGAGCACGCTGGCAGCTGCTGGCAACAGAGCATCGCTTTCGATGCGTATTTCCCATGGTGTCCCTGCTTATTCTCCTCTAGCCCCTTTCTCTCCAGTGAACATAAATACAAACATTAATTCCCTTCTTGTTAATTATCCAGCACCAGGGTGAGCATCCCAAAGGGCGGGGGAGCGGTCAGGAGGCAAACAAAAGCAGAAGGCCTGAAACCGATTTCAGTATTGTACTCTTGTCAGTTTCAAGCCAGAAAGCACAGTCCCGGTCATGTGATTTCCCACTTAGTGACTGCTTTGCTTAGCGACCGAGTTGCCGGTCATAATTGTGGTCACTAAATGAGGACTACCAGTATCTTGAATTGGGCTTAAGACTTCTTGAGCAAGCAACGCAGGGTTGGTGTTGCAGGATCCCATTTAGCTGCCCTGTTTCGCCATCTGGCAGCAACGTAACCAGCTAATGCTTGTGGTCTGTACCTCTCTCACTTGAATACGAATCTCAAAGAAAAGGCTTTCTCAAGGAGCATCCATTGTCGATGGATTAATCCGTTAATTAACGACAGCTCTGGGGGCAGGCAGTCGCCAGCAGGAAGCGTGCTTCATCTGTATCAGAGCCGGGACTTGTGTCAGGGATCCTGCTGCTGTGCTCAGTTCAGAATGAAAGTGTTCCTGCGCCTTTCAAAACGGGGGACAGCATCAGCCGGAGATAATGTAATCTCACCTGGCTGGGATAGATCTGTCCTGGGTGAATATTTTCCAACCCTGTCAAATCCAGTACATGCTCATATATGGAGCTGTGACTGAGTTTCCATTTGAGGAGCAGGAACCAACCCCTCTGCCGTTTCCCTTCTAGCTCCACATTTGCCAGCTGCCGCGGGGGGCTCTTCCTGTTCACCGTCTCTCGGATGGTCATCCGGACTCACAACTTGCTCTTCTCTTCTCTGGTGCGGCAGGACCGGACCTTCTTCAGGAGGTGAAAGCAGGTGAGGCCCAAACAGGTGTGAGACTGGGCTGAAGCTGCCATAACTAAAAGATGAAGCAGGCGTGTAAGCAGAGAGGACAAAAAGCCAAAATCCTTTCAGGGAGGTAGATGAGAAGGAAAAAAACGATTAAGGAAACAAAGGAAAAAATGCCGCCTGAACCAGACAAAAGAAGTTGGGCCTGAGTGCGTGGGAACCTCACCCAATCCCATCAACAGCTACCAGACTTGTAAATTAACAAAGTAATTGTAGCTGCCAGTCTTGTGAATCAACAAAGCAAGGACTTTGGGGGATAAAAGGGTTCCTGAAGCCCATCCGCTCCTTGAGTCGTCTTTGGATCCAGACTTGGCGGCTTCCATCCCTCTAGATCAGGGGTTCTCAAACTATGGCCCGCGAGCCGGATACGGCCTGCCAGGGTCATTTATCTGGCCCGCCCGCCTGATTGGGTCAGGGCTGTGTCGGGAGTTGCAGGCGATGCACGAGGAGGGAGATCCCAGAGCCGGACTATTCTACGTTACAGATATGCGGGGTCCAGCGGCTCTCCTCCTCTCCTCGTACTCCGCGGGAGGGATCCTCCATACAGGGTGATCGCTGTGTCGTTCTCCAAGCTGCTTGTCTCATTCTTTCTCCCAATTGCCCACCCCGTTCTTGCAATCCCTCGGAAACCATCTGGTCTTCCCCAGGTTGCGTGAGTACAGGCGCCCTATTTGGAGAACAGCAGGAGCCCTGTTCTCATGGTGCTTCGCATTTGCATTTTATGTTCCTTCCTGTTTTACCCTCACAATGGATTTCATTGGGAATGTCATTAAAA